CTGATGAATAAACACCCTGTCTCAAGACATTTAAATCCAGATATTTAAAAAATTGTTCTGTGGAGCTGGTGATAGAGTCGGTGGTAGGACAGGTTGCCTAGCATTCGGCGCTGGGTTTCATTCTCTGGGTCCAGTCTTCAAACGGGGGGGGGGGGAGTGAGAGGAAATCATTTTAAATAGATGGATACATAGACAGACAGACAGATAGACAAAAGCACCTTTCAAAGCTGAGCACGGTGGCACCCGCCTTTAATCCCAGGACTCAGTGAAGCAGGTGGATCTCCGAATTTGAGGCCAGCTTGGTCTCTATAGTGAGTGTCAGGCCAGCCAAAGCAGTACAGTGAGACCTTGTCTCAAAAATAAGTAAACAAACAATAAGTAAAATGCTTTTCAGGCAGACCGGTGGAACCCAGTGTGTAAAACCCTCTGGTTATCAGCCTGGTTAATGCTCATCTGTTCTCTACTGCCCACCTCTTAATTTCCTTTCTTCCTAGAACCATTTACTGGACAGATTGGGGCAACACTCCCCGCATTGAGGCCTCCAGCATGGACGGCTCTGCACGCCGCATCATTGCTGACACTCATCTCTTCTGGCCCAATGGCCTCACCATCGACTATGCGGGACGCCGTATGTACTGGGTGGATGCTAAACACCACGTCATCGAGAGGGCCAATCTAGATGGGAGTCACCGCAAGGCTGTCATTAGCCAGGGTGAGGTCTTTGATCTGCTCTCTTTCATCTCTCTACTCCTTCCCAATCCTGCCCCCAGGAGCCTTGGCAGAGGGTGAGATTTGTGTAGCTGCCAGGCCTGGGCACAAGGGCCATGGCAGGCCATGTCTGGACTAAGGTCTTTTTGGACTGTCTCTAGGCCTCCCACATCCCTTTGCCATCACAGTTTTTGAAGACAGCTTGTATTGGACAGACTGGCACACCAAGAGCATCAATAGTGCCAACAAGTTTACTGGGAAAAACCAGGAGATCATCCGTAACAAGCTGCACTTCCCCATGGATATTCATACCTTACACCCTCAGCGCCAACCTGCAGGTAAAAAAAAAAAAAACAAAAACCAAATCTCTTTAAGTGAGCTAAATTTGTCACCAGTGACGTGATTGCTTGTGCCTCTTGAGAATCTTCCTTTCACTTGTCATAGATACTATTAATTCTGGGCAGTGAAGCCCAGAACTGGCATTAATTCTGGGCAGTGAAGTCCAGAACTGGCATTAACATGGACTAGTTGCTCCCTCTGCTGGACATTTCGGGCGGTACACCATCAGGGCTTTACTGTTTCCATATAATGCAAACATTTATAGGGCATCTCCTATGTGTCAGATACTAATTGTGCTTGCCTCCCTAAGAGATGTCAAAATTAATCAGACAAGAGTTCTTCTTTGTAGAGAGCTCAGCCCTCCCTCCACCCCTTGGCCTGGGGTCTGCCTTTGTAAACCTTTAATCTCCCTGATCATCTTGCTCTGGGCTCTTTGAGCAGGGAAAAACCGCTGTGGGGACAACAATGGAGGCTGCACTCACCTGTGTCTACCCAGTGGCCAGAATTACACCTGCGCCTGCCCCACTGGCTTCCGCAAGATCAACAGCCACGCCTGTGCCCAGAGTAAGTGGGTTTGGGATGCCATCCTCAGGGGAGGTGCCTTGTGGGGACAGTTAGGAGGAACCGTGACAGGAGCTGGAGCGATTGCTTGTCCCAGGGGAGAGCCAGGCTCCTCCAGGAGCCCATGACAGCCTTTAGAGACTGGGGGCTTCTGTATCAAAGCTGAGGACCAAGAACTGGGCAGTAGTATGTGAAGGCTTTAGTGACGCCACTCAGTGTAGGGACACCTGCAACCAGGCTTGCCTTTCACATCAGCAGGCAGGATGCCTTCTGTCTAGGCAGAAAGAAGGTCCAGTTCTCCTAGGAAGTAGGACAATGGTTTCCAACCTCTCTACCTTTAGCCTGACCCATAGAAGACTGTCGTTAGGACAGAGAAACAGGATTGGGATTCCAAATGATGTTCTGTGACCAACAAGTAAAAGATGATAGGATTCCCTGATTTCTCCCAGAATCTCTACTTTGGGTTCCTTTGAGCTCTGGCAAGGTAATTACCCTGCAAAGTCAACCCTAGAAACCTCAGCACACAGGTGACTTCTTCTAAGGCTAGTCCAGAGAGGAGTTGATCAGGCATACGGCACGATCAGCAAGGGACCAGAGACAATTCCTTTTGTATCATTACTGCTGTGTGATCCACTGGCTTTCTTAAATCTCTAAAATCAAATAGTTGGAGCTGAGGAGAAGAGCTCAGTTGGTGAAGTCCCTGCCATGTAAGCATGAGGTCCTGAGTTCAAATTCCAAGCACCCATGTAAAAGCCAGGTGTGGTGGCGTGTGTAACCCCAGAGCTGGGGGTCAGGGGGAGATAGGCAGATCCCTGAAGCTCACATGCCACCAAGTCTAGCCAATTGGTAAGGTTTGGGTTCAATGAGAGACCTTGTCTCAAAAATAAATAAATAATAAGGTGAAGAGCTGTAAAAGGACATGCCCAACTTCCACATGTACACATGTTCACACATGTCCATATACAATTTCACACACATACAGACATACACACAGGCAAAAATCAGATTCTCAGGGGACCCTTTCCAGAGAGTGATTAGGGAAAACATT